GGACCTACTATCACTGCCTACCGTATACTTACTGATGGAAGAGAGAGAGAGAGACGGAGGCCCACGCAACACGACCTTTTCACGCTATAATAAGTCGTATGCGCTTATAAACTATCACAACCGACTAATGTTCGCTGATTCCATGAACGCCTTCATTTTGCCGAACTAAGAGCCGTGTTGCAGTAGTTTCTGACGGTGACCTTATTGCAGTTATCAGCTAGTCGCTTGGATGACTGAGATATGCGTGTGTAGCGAGCAGAACACCAGTTGAAGCGCTGAGTGAATCACACTTGTGGCTTCCACCGCTAGCTATATTAAAATAATTTTACCGCGGGTTCACACTTTAGTTTGGCTACAGTCCGCCTTCTCATGCTCAAGACATCCTGAGTGTCTCGCGTTACGGTCGTGGGATGTGGCCAGTCGCCGTCGTCGCAAACGACGTGCATTAGTTCCGCGTGATTTTGTTTGATAGTGAGCGTCATGCTTGCACAGCGTCTAGCGCTGCCGCCCCCGTAGAGGGCTCGTGAGCTAAAACAATATGCACAACTTCGAAAAAAATATAGTCCTAATGGTTGTTGGAGATATGCATACACTCGAAATCCCCCTGCAGTCATGCCCGAGTATCCATGTGAACCGGTGCATTCCGAAACTCTCGCCGGTGAACACTGTGCCAGCTGGATTATGCAAAGCCAAGTGAACCGGTCGGTTTTAGATGCTGAAGTAGATAGATGTTCCTGGTACTCAACTTCTGATGACGCGCAGCCTTTCTTGGCTACATCGTATATGCTTGCTGTGTGATTGGATTTCAAACCTCAGAATTGAGATTTCAAGGAATGAAGATGTGAATGGTCAAGTGTCACTCACAGCAGCCCACACGCTCTCTCTCTCTCTCCCCCTTAGGCATAGTGTGGTGTTGTCTGAATGAGTACTGCATTCACCTGTCTATTCCTACCGCTTCTGTAGTAATATCAACTGCGGGTGAACGCAGCCGATTGCTACCGGTGATACGAATGACCTAGAGGACTTTTCAAATAACTGACTTATTTGCCACTTTGGACGCATTTCTTGATGTGAAAATGGTGAAGTGAGTTTGAGCTTCTTTGGACAGAACCGGCTATCAATTATCAACGTGTACTTCCAGCAATGACTGGTGGATTCAGCGATGATCGTGCCGCCAACAAGATTTATTGGAATTTAGTCAGTTCAGGGAACTGTGGCTGGCGTCGGGATGTTGGTTGGAAACGACTGTTTATCATCAATATGTATTTTCCACATTAATTAGCAATGATGGGTCATTCCGGCGATGGCTGTGCGACTAGCCAAAGTAACTGCGGAGCCTGGTAGAAGTCTTGCGTTGCCTGAAAAGCATTAACAGCGTCTTCCAAGTATTTTAATATCCCTCCTTACTCCCAGTGTGTGTGTGTCACTCAGTAAAAAGGCACACGTTAGGACGAGTGGATGAAAATCTTCCAACTTTCTATTGTCTTTGGTCGAATGTTGAGAGGTGCATTGCACAGCATCGTCTTGGCGGGGTAGTACATTGCTGGTGCCGATCGTAGCATTTATGAGTAAAACGATGGTACCTCATGTACAACATGCTGATTATCTGTCTTTTTGCGTACTGTGTGGAATGCAAAAAGGTGCCGGTCTTTACTAGTCTATTTTAATCCCCTTTCTTAACGAAGTCGCAAATCTAATCCTTGTATGTCTTAAACTGGGAACTGTTTG